CAGAATTGAGTTTGGAATCAGTAGTTAGAGCTAGGGCTTGGAACTTTTCTGATAAAACTTTTCCAGAGTCTTTTAAGTTTGATTTGTTTATTTTACATTTCCTCTGAGGTATAGACCAATGGTAAGGAACAGGCTGGGTAAAATGAGCCCAAATCTGGAGGCTCTTTTTATCTTTACAACCAAGCAGTTTTTAGAGGAAAAAAGGTCCAGGGTGAGCAGTTGAGACAGAATAAATGGCTTCTATAAATTAACAGGCTTACCTGCCACATCAGGGTCACCCACAGTTTTGTCCCTGTGATGAGAACAGCTTGGGAACCACTGGGAGCATAAGGCCCAACAGTGATTGCAGCTATCTGTGGGGAGGCAGTTGGTCTCTGCTCCCTTCGGAGCAGGGCATAATCTCTCCTTCAGTGCCCTGTAGTGTGCACAGGGGGCATGGCTCCTTATTCCAGTAGTTTGGGCTTTCACATCCCGAAAGCAGGCTCCTTTATTTGGCAGTTCCTCCCCTCGGGCTTTTGGGGTGCCCTGGGGTGACTTTAGCCCTGGGTTGTTTATAACTGTGGCCAAAAGTCTGTCTTTGTCTTTGGTCTCACCCTCTGATCTCACTGTTCCCTTATTCCTTGTTTTCCTGTCTTGGAGTTAAAGACATTTAAACAAATTTCTGGCCTTTTTTCTAGGATCTAAGTCTCTTTTTGAGAGAGGAAACAGAGGGCCAGAACTATATGATCCTGCCAGGTTAAGGAGAATAAGCTTCCTTTACATTGGTCTATGCTCTGACGCTGTGGAAGACACACGAACTCTAGTAATCCTAGAATACAGAAGTTTATATAACTATTAGCAAAACTTACTTTTTACTATTGTGTGGACTTTAGCTTCTTTCAGTAACCAAGGACTTTATTAGGACAATGTAAAACATAGACCAGTAGTCTAAGACATTTGTTCTGTTTAGCAGAGAGAGAGAGAAAAAACATTCAACTCCACTAGTTTACTTTTAATATTTAAATGTACTTGATTGATTGTATTTAGTTTAACTATACATAAAACTTTCTCAAGACTTTTCACAAACCTTGTCTGACTTTCTTTGTTCCTCTTAGGTTGTCTCTTTTTACTCATTCAGAAATAACCATCTTTAGGACAAACTATTTTCTTACAGTTCCTTCAAAAATGCATTTCCATACCTTATACCTTTCTTGAAAACATCCATAACCTTCTGAACCTTAATTTTTACTGACCAAGCAATTGCAGAGAGGTCCTAAGATCTTATAATTGTCTCTGTAACTTCAAAGAGGCTGTAACAAGGAGTGGGGGGAGGTGTTGGAAGGGGGGACTTGTTGCCTGGGTTTAAAAGTGTCCCTTTTTTTTTTCTTTAGTTATCTCAGCCTCAAGTGGCAGCTGCAGCAGCCCTTTTTGTTTACATTTCAGGTTATCTGTAAGATCTTGAAAGTTACTGAGAGTTAGAAAAACCTTTTAAGATTTACTTTTATCAATTTTCTGAATATAGAGGTGCACAAAACAATTTTAAGTTAGCCAGTTTGTTCATACATAATGTAGGGGGCTCTCAGAAGGTATAGATACAGAGCTCCCCATCAGCTTGGTGTTTCTGTAGGGGTTTTCTTTGGAGAGGGGAGATGAGAGATTACAGCCAAAAGGGCTGAATCAACTTGACAATTTTTTTTTTTTCTGTAAAGGTCTGGGTTGTTCCGCAGGGCAAAAAAATAGCCTGAACATAGGGGACTTCTGACTATATGTCTTCCCATCTGTAAAACAAATCTAGCTGTATAATAGTATTAGAGTTAATACTTCCCTCCGCAGGCCAGGTTTTTCCTGTCTTTTAATTTGTATTGAGGTTAAAACCTCGGAACAAAAGGAGACCAGGCACCACTCTTTTTAGAGTCTAAGGGTTAAATCTGTCAGGATGCATTTCAGAAGGGTGAAGGCGCATGAGAGCTGATAATTTGCCTCCCAACAACCTGTCTGGCGTGTCCTCCAGACCCTGAGTGGGCCAGGGAGACCGCATAACTCAATTCCGCGGCAGGTGGGGGGACATGGCATGCCAGGATTTAGTCATGCCTTACCTGGGCAGCCAGCCTATGTCCGCGTGTGGGCACCTGTAGTGCCCATGTGTGGGGGAGGGAGAAAGTGCCCATTTGTTGTGAAGAAAGAAAAGAAAGGCGTCCCTTTGCAATTCACCTTCCAACAACCTATCTGGAGGGTCCTCCAGATCCTGAGGGAGCCAAGGAGACCGCATGACCCGGTTCTGAGGCTGGGTTGGAAGACATGGCGCGCCAGGGTTTAGTTGTGCTTTACTTGGGCTGCCAGCCCATGCTCCTGGGTGGGCGCCTGTCTAACTTTGTGTGTGTCCCCGCCTGGATTTTTTATTCCAGCCCGTGGGCTGATAAAGGCACTGGCCGAGAATGGGGCATTTTAAAGTAGAGGGGTGTATGGCCCAATTCTGAGCGTCTTTAAAATTGGTGGCAATGTCAATGTAATGGTGGCACTCCGTATAAAGATGATTAAGGAGGGAGTATATATGCTCAAGGTCTTTAAGAAAGGTACACGGCATAGGTGAAAGGGTGTGGAGGGAGGCCATGATGTCCAATATATAAGGGGGAGCAGAGAGAGCTATTGGAAACCTTCACAGGCTTCGGATAAAGTTTCCTCCTTAAGGTAAAGCGAGTCTGGAAAATGTTGTCTCTCCCCCAGTATCTTGCTTGACGATCTGCAATAATACAGGTGTAAAAGGAACATGTCTAGGTATTTGGGACCCCAAGGGTAGAGCCCCTCGTGGAAGTGGGTTGCTAAGCAATTGCTGGAAAATGTACAACGAGTGGGAAGGGCACAAAACCAGCAAAGATGTTGTTGAGTGGGAAATCTAGGACATTTTCATCTGTGCTTTAAAACTAAAGAGATCCCAATAAGATGTTAAGAGAGGGCAGGCCAAATGCCAGTAGATCTTGTCCTGAGTAACAAGGGATGTTCCATAGAGACAAAGTTCCACATTCTTACCTTAAGGTGTCTTGACGTTGGCATGGGGTATTGCTGAGGAGGTCTCACAGGGAAGGAACCCTGGACTAGCATCTCAGGGACTGAGGAGTGATAGTGTCAGGATGAACAAAAAACCAAGGATGGTGGAAACATTTAACTGGCACGCTTATGGGCGGTCTGTCTGGGAAGAAACCAGTGGGGCCTTCAGGTGTCTCCTGCAGAGTTGCTGCAGCCGAGACCTCCTCAGTTGCCCACAAAGCCCTACAACTCAGTCACGTGCCAGTATTCATTCTCCTCACGGAAAAGAAAAGGCAGCAGAGAGATGGGAGATAGCAGCAGAGAGGAGGAGAGCCTCTAGATAGCACCCTTACGGGCAGTTGGATTGGGGGAGGACTCAGAGGGCCTTCAGGGTTCACTGCAGCATTGCTGCAGCCAGAAACCCTCAGTTGCCACCAAGAGCCCTTCGCCCCAACCTCGCGCCATTCTTGGCTTCCCTTTTTACCAGAGAAAGTAGTCAGGCTAAGACCAACATTCCTCCAGCTTAGCACCAAAGGGGATTGATCAAAGCCTCCTGCAGCGCCTGTCCTCCAAGTCTTAAGATTGGCAGCTGCGCTAGTCGCCTTTACCTGGCTGTTGGAGGCCCAATGTTTGTGTGACAGAAAAATATATATGAAGGCCCACGAGTGGGCAAAGCAAATAGAAAAGCATAGATTATATTTACCTCTCCTTCGATCCTCGATGAGCCCCCAAATGATGTAGGATATTTCTTATGCTGGGGTCATGGTCTCGTGAAGCTGAAGAATGGAGACATGGACCAGAGAGGTAAAGTTTGTAGCAGAGGATAGTTTTATTAAAGCAAAAGAAAGGTTACAGCTCCCAAGTGGGAGGGGGCACCAGGAACTATGATGCCCACCAGTTAGGGTAAAAGGCTTGAGTTTTATACTTTTTTCTGCCTGGAAGGGGGAATGCTGAAACACTGGTGCCTGTTATTAAGCTGTTTATCAGATTTGTCCTGTTGCTCAGCCTTGGGAAGGCCTTTTGTAATGTCCTTCAAAATGACTTTGTTGCTCTGGGGCATGACTGATGTCTCTGTTCCAGTATGATGGAGTTATCTTATAATTTTGAAAGAAATGGCTAGTGTAAGAAATGGCCAATGTTTTGTTCTTTTGCTCAGTCTACCAGGGAATTCCTGACTGCCTGACATTATACTAACTAACCTGTCTTAACTCAGAAACTTCCAAGGGTTTTTGAAACTCTGTGCCAGGAATCAGAGACAAAGCCCGGATTTATTCTTCTGTCTCACAAGGATAGACAGAAAAACTGGGGGAGGGGTAACCTTGTAATGCTTAGCAGTTAAAAATTAAAAGGAATCTGGCCTTGTTCCAGCAGAGAAGAGGTTTTGTCCTTAATCAGGAGAAAAAGAAACTCAGGCAGGAGTCAGGAATGGTTCCAAAGAAAATAGCAAGCAGGATAAACAAATTCCAAGGCTTTTAAGAAAACAATGCTGACAGGGGACTCTGGCATGAGCCTGGGAAGTGAACTCCAAGAAGAAAGAAGCAAATGTCCTAATATAACCACCATCTTCTGTGACTCCAGAGTTTTGGCATCTGTTTTCCTTTTGAGATATATATGCTTTAATAGTTGTGTTGATATTAAAAGGGGCTACAAAAGGAAGGAAACCTTCTCTAATGAGCATTGTTTATTTTACTCTTAAAATATAACAAAGCTGACCCTCTAGGGTATTTGTGCTGAGAGATTCAAAACCAGGACCTCATTGTTAACAGCGGCAGGAATTTCCCTTCAGCCTTTAGGGGAAGCTATTCTGTGTTGCAACTTGAAATTCCATGAACAGATTCCCTCTGGCTTTTTATTTAGCTTAAAATTCCCAGAAGAAACAATCAATGAAAGTGTGAATTGTTTTATGAACACAAAAATGAAATTTGGCACTAACTCTTGTTAAACCTATACAGAATAGCAGGACAGAACATGAAGTGACACAGTTGCCGGGATTTGCGAGTGCCCTGGGTATTATGTCACAGTCTAGCTGGGGAGGAGGGCTGGAGTTTATTAGGGAAACGCCTGTGTACAAAGTACTAAACAATAATTCCTCGCTCCCTGAAACTTGACCCAGCAAGCTCATAACTATCAAGCTTTCCCTTGATTTATAGCCATCACCAGGCTGTCCTAGGAAAGGCTTGTGGTCTGAGTTTTGCATTGTTTGTATGATATCAAGAATACAACTTTGTGCTGGCTGAAAGGTAACATTTTATCTGGAATAGTACTCTGATTTTTGACACTAATGGCCTTAAATAAGATGGAGAGTTTGAAATTTGATGGAACAGAGCGCCTAGCTGTGGACTATGTGAAGGGAATTCTTCAACCCAAGCCCACCTGTGACATCTGGGATCAGATCTGGGACTTCCAAGCCAAGCCTGATGATCTGCTTATTTCTACCTATCCTAAAGCTGGTAGGTGGAAGGGGAGAGGGGAAGGTGAAGAAGAGAGGTAGGAAGGTAAGTGGGAAAAATGCATTAATAATGAATTAAGAAATGCATGTGGGTTTGAGTAAAAGACTGTTTACTGGACAGAGTGATATGGCAAAAACATTATTTGTGGAAACAAACTACATAAAAAAATATTAAAATGATCTATAAATTCTAAGAATTTAATTATTCCTGTGATGTATATTATTACTATTGTTATTATTGTTATTATTATTATTATTATTATTATTATTTTACTTCCTTAGAAGAGAGTATCTCAGACAGCCAAAAATAAAAAGGTTAGACTTGTTGATTTATTTGAAACCAATACAGGCCCTCACTGCAGATCTTGTGAAAAGCTGCTTTGTATGCATAAGCTAGAAAAGGGATCCCCAGGCTGATTTGGAGAAGAATTATTATTATTATTTTTAAAATTAATTTCAGGTGCACAACACTGTGCAATAGCTATACTTTTTACCCCTCAAAGGGACAAACCCCTCCTCCATGGAGAATTCTTGAAGCTTTGGTTCTGCAGTGCTGATTTCACCTCAGCAGCCCTTAGAAACCCTCAAAAGTCTCTCAGTAGTTCTTGAGAACTACCCTTTCTAAAGAACAATACAGCTAAATCAATAGGATAACAATCCAAATTAATGGTTGTGACACACACACTAAAATTAACTGTATACTTATCAATATAATGTCCACTTCAAATTGTAATCTTTTAATAAAAATTCCTATTATGATAAAACAAGATATAAAGGATGATGTTTTCTGAATTCCATTATAAACCTAGCTTTAAAATTCACATAGATGGGGAGGATTTGAGGTCTTGTGTGGTCAGTTTGGCTCAGATCAACTCATAAAATTTTTAAAAAATTTACATAGATGTTCTAACAAGCATTTGATCATATTTTAAGGAATACAGTATACTAAATGTTTATGCATCTTCATCTTCCATGTGGAATAAGGAACAACATGGACTCAGGAGATAGTGGACTTGATACAAAATGAAGGTGATGTTGACAAAAGTCACCGAGCACCTACTCACGTACGATTTCCTTTCATCGAAATGATAATCCCATTCATTGGATCTGGTGAGTATGGAATAGCCACACCAACTATAGCACTAACTATTATATACTGTATTTTTCCATGTATAATGTGCACCCATGTTTTTGGCCCAAATTTTCAGGGGAAAAGAAAACTTTCGTTTTAATTTTTTAATTCAAATTTTTATTTGTTTACATTTAGGTACTGTTTTTTGTATTATAAAGGAATTTTAGCATTTATCTTTTAACATATTATGGTACAATAAATTTTATGTAACAAATAATTACAAAACACAAGAACAGGTACAAGGTACAAGAAATTTTATGTACCAATAACAAGTTTACGATATTTACGCATCATAGAAGGCCAAGAACTCTTTATCACTGCAAGTTCGTTGTAAGTTCAACAAAATTGATTATCATATTCCAGAGTATTATTTTGCATATGGGTATCGTTATTGATTTCTAGAGTTACACCTTAAACTCATAAGCATAAATAGAAGAATTAAAAACATTTCTATAGATATGGAATTAGTACTATCCATGTATCATGTACATCCTTATTTTTTCCCTCACAAATTTGGGCAAAAAAATGTGCATTATACGTGACAAAATACAGTACTTAGAATTTTTACTATCAAATAGCCCTCTCAGAATTCTAGACATTCAAACAATTATTAATGGATTTTGTGACTTTTTCTTTTTAAAACTATGTCTGGTCATTGCTGCACTCCAGACATTGTCTAATGGGGTTACTTAGTGTTTATACAAAAATAAGTTAAAGTTTGATTCTCTAATTAAAAATTAATTTTACTCCACAAAGATGAGCCTAGGTAATTTCAGGGTGAAAAGGCTTGTATTTGTCAGGTTCTTATTCAGTTTGTTGTTTGTTATGGTTAAAAATTGTTCTAGCCAAAAAATTAATTAATAGGTTAGACATATTCTCTCAGATCAGCTCTAGATAGTGACAGTGCTCTTACAGCTGCCTTGAATTGTTCAATTGTTCCTAAGGTAGAATAATGAAAGCAGAAATATTTTAAAGCAAATAGAGAAAAACAGTGAAATGTGATCAAAAATCAATTTTACAGGTTTGGAACAAGCTAATGCAATGCCCTCACCACGGACCCTGAAAACACATCTTCCCATCCACTTGCTGCCACCATCCTTCCTAGAGAAAAACTGTAAGGTAAAGAGCAAAAGGAATTCAGAGTTGTACAACTTAGAATGACCTTAGAGTGGTCTTTAATCAATTTCCTCTTAAAACACTTCACTTATTGTTAAAGAAAAAAATTCCACCTCTACACAATAATCAATATGAAAACTGATATGAATCCTCCCACAAATGGCAAGATCACAAGAATGAAAACTCAGAAAAATTCATCTGTATAAAATGTACTCACCCTAACATAATGTGTCTGGGCACTAACTATATAGAGGTCTAACCTTGTTTGTACTTCTTCCCCTTTTCCCACCATTCCCAGATAATCTATGTAGCAAGAAATCCCAAGGACAATATGGTGTCTTATTACCATTTCCAAAGGATGAATAAATCACTCCCTGATCCAGGAACCTGGGAAGAGTATTTTGAGAGTTTTCTGGCTGGAAAAGGTAAAATAACTCAGCTTTGATTCTGTCCTTTCTCAAAACCCTCAACTACTCTACAAAGAATAATTTCCTTAGAACAGCAAGACCTCTGCCTTCTTTAATGAGAATGAATCATCACTAATGTGGCATTCAGGAATTCTCTTTTCAGTGAATATTTGTTGGTTGGACTTCTATGACTGGACTTCTATGACTCATTGCCCTGTTTTTCATCCTGTCTTGCAGTATGCTGGGGTTCTTGGTATGACCATGTGAAAGGATGGTGGGATGCCAAAGACCAACACCGTATTCTCTACCTCTTCTATGAGGACCTGAAGATGGTGATGTCTAATGTGTTTCCATTTGATCATAAAATACTCCAAGTCATAATATGTGGACCCCATCAGGGACTCACAAATTGAAATAAGGAACAGAAAATTGCTGCATTTCATTGGCTACAGCTGTCCATGCATCAAAATGTACATGGGATATCATGAGTTTATGTATCACATAGTCTCACCTAAAACTTCCTAGTGCTCTGCGGTATGGCACACCTTTTCCTTATAGGCAGATTATGGCAAAATGTGAATGGCCCCTTTTTTCCCCTTGCATATCTATTTTAAAATTCTGTTTAGAAGGAAAAACATTTTTTAAAGATTTTATTGGGGAATTAAGAGAGGGGAACACTGTTGGGGAATCGGGGAAGGGGAGCAGACAAGTTGCTGTTCTTTGGTTCTTCAGTCTAGTTGTGGAGGACGTCGCTTCACTGGCCCATGTTGGTATTATCATTGTGCTCTTCCCAGGTGAGGCAGATCGGTCGCTGGCCTCTGGACGGCTGCTCACAGTGGCTCTTGGCAGCTCACACCGGCTGCCGGCCACTCATGCTGGCTGCCAGCCACACATGGTAGCTTATGGCAGCCCACTGCAGCAGGGGCTGCAGCCTACACCATCGCCAGCGACTCACGGCAGCCCAGCTCCAGGTTGAGCTGTTGTTCACCATCTTGGCTGTAGAGGGCATTGTCACTGGCCCTCATGTAGGATCCGGCCCCGGGGCCCTGCTGCACAGAGTTGGCATCCCAAGCCAGCTCTTAAACCAACGCGCCACTTGGCTGGCCCAGGAAAAAAAAATTTTAACATTTTTTTCATTAGTACTTGAGGAACATCAGTTTCAAGAAACAGTTTAAGAAATTATAGTGTAATAAAAAATAGTAATGATTTAAAGTCAGAATTCTTGAATTCAAATTCTAGCTTTATTGCCTACTGGCAATTATTCTTGGTGAAGACACTTAACATCTTAAAGACTTAATTAGCTTCCTCAAATTTAAAAAAGGAAATGGTAATATATAGTCCTCCAAGATCTGTTGTGAAGACTAAATGAAATGATGTTTGCAGGAGTTTATTGTAAATGATAACCTACTCAGTATTTGCTGTGACTCTACTAAATACAGAGATCTGAGAAGGATTACAGTCTCTGTTCTTGAGTTTGTAATTGAAAGTCATGGTACTCAAAAGGTGCTTCGCAGACAAGTTGCATGGGCCCTCAAAGCCCACACCAGGTCTGCTAAATCAGAAGGTTCAGTTTTACAAGATTTCTAGAGGGGTCGTGTGTACACTACTTTTGATGTACTTCTTTTAGTTTCAATCCCAGCTGGGGCTTTTCCAGTTGTTTCTATAAAATATCAAAGATTAATTGAGATATATTTAACATATACCATTATATTAGTTTCAGGTACAGCATGATTTGATATTTGCATATATTGCAAAATAATCACCACAATAAGTGTAGTTAACATCCATCACCACATATAGTTAAATTTTTTTCCTTGAGATGAGAACTTCGAAGATCTACTCTCTTAGCTACTTGCAAATATAAAATACAGTATTGTTAACTATAGTCATCATGCTGTACATTACATCCCCAGGACTTACTTGTTTTATAAATGAAAATTTGTACCTTTTAACCCCCATCACCCATTTCACGCAACATCCATGTTGTAGCAAATGGTAAGAATTCATTCTTTTTATGGCCGAGTAATATTTCATTGTATATATGTACCATCTCTTCTTTATCCAATTGTCTATTGATTGGTACTTGGGTTGCTTCCACATCTTGGCTATTGTAAATCATGCTGCAGTGAACTTAGAGGTGCATATATTTTTTTGAATTAGTGTTTTGGATTTCTTCAGATAAATACCCAGAAGTGGAATAGCTTGGTCACAAGGTAGTTCTAGTTTTAATTTTTTGAGAAACCTCCATAATGTTTTCCATAGTGGCTGCACCAATTTGCAGTCCCACCAATAATTCACAATCCTTGCCAACACTTGTTTCTTGATTTATTGATGATAGCCATTCTGACAGGAGTGATTTTTTCATTGTTGTTTTAATTTGCATTTCTCTGAAAATTAGTGATATTCAGCATTTTTTCATATGTCTATCGGCCATTTGTATGTCCTCTTTGGAAAAATGTCTATTCAGGTCCTCTGCCCATTTTTTTAATCAGATTGATTTTTTTTCAGTGTTGTGCTGTGTGAGTTCTTTATAAATTTTGGATACAACCCCTTATCAGATAGTATCATTGGTGAATATCTACTCCCATTCAGTAGGCTAAATTTTCATTTTCTTGATGGTTCCTTTGTTGTACAAAAAATAAAAAATTAGTTTGATGTAGTTCCATTTGTTTATTTTTTCTTTTGATTCCCTTGCTTGAGGAGACAGATTAGAAAAAAATTTACTAAGCCCTTTTGATATCAACAATTTTTAAGCAAAAACCCATTTTAAAGCAGAAGATAGCTGTTGTGGTAGACTTTCCCACTTTCCCTCCCCGACCACTTTTCCTAAAGGTAGGGCATTTCCCACAGCCACAGCTTCCCAGCTTGTGTATCCCTCTGATGAGAAAACAGTGGCTACGTTGGAACTGAGTTTCTGTCAGGGACACCTACACACCTGGATATGCTGGGCACTAGAGTTATTAGTCATGGGTACCTCTTAGGTGCCTCATGAGTACAAAAAAGCCCTCTCCAACCTTCCTGCCACCACAGCAATATCTGGGGACATTTCTAACAATATCAAAAACAAGAGATAGCCTCCTTTTCATCAGGTCTTAAATTGTCTACCTATATGCTTCTGCAATATCTTTGCTCTTATCATTAGTCTATGGACTCACCCTGTTAGACATTTAGCTGACTGAGGCCCCTCCCATATTGACTTGAACAGGACATTTGGAAATAAGTCTTGACATATTCCTTTAGTGAAACAGTCTCCATGCACTGCATATCAAGATGTGAATGCTTCACTGACACTACTCAATGGGTGTTCCACCTTAAAGCAAGAAAAACTTAATAATTCCAATTAATAAAAATTTAAAAATTCTAGGTTGCCATGTTAAAATGAGTCATTTCTGGAAAGTTGAGTTTTTGCAAGAGAAGATTTTTTTTAAAATTTTAACTCACATGTTACTGATTACTCCTATAAGTTCACTTAATATTCTTTTTAAACTATTTTATTATAAAATCTTCACTTTTGTTTTCACTCTGATCATAGAACCCAAAGCATGAAATTCAGAAGCTGGCAGAATTCATTGGAAAGAGCCTGGATGATAAAGTTCTAGATAAAATTATCCATCACACTTCATTTGACATTATGAAGCAGAATCCAATGGCAAACTATTCATCAATTCCTACTGAAATCATGAACCACTCTATTTCTCCATTCATGAGAAAAGGTATTTAAGTTTTCTTTTAGTCACAATCTTAGAAGGACTGCCCAATGTTTCAGAGCCTTAGGGGAGTTTTCTTTTCTATGGATAAGAAAAATAAGATCTATAATGAATGATTCCAGGAAAAGAAGTATCACTTCATTTCACAGATGAAATGAAAACAATGTTTTAGCCACAACTAGAGAGTGCAGTTTGGTGTCTAAATCCAACCACTTGTCCTCACTTTCCCTCTAGATTCTGGCTGATAAGGCGAAAATATACAGAATTAATTCAGATGGAACAAAGAATCTATTTTATGGATGGTTCTATGCTATCATTTATATTCATTCATTTAAAAATACTTACTGAGTGGCCATTATGTGCCAGGCACTATTCTAGGTAATGTTCAGAACAATGAAGAAAACACACAAAAATCCTTTCCATCATGGAAATTATATTCTAGCCATAAACAAAATAAAGAAGAATACACAGAGTAATAGATAATAGAAGTGTTATGAAGAAAAAACAATCTGAGAAGGGTAACAGGGATTGAAATTGAACATTGAGAAAATCTTTTCTGTTCTGTTCCTTAAAACTGTACTTTGAGTTCTCCCAGAAACAAGCCTCTCTTGGTCCATTTACAGCATGGGAGCTATTCGCATGCACATCTACCATGCTGTGATGTGCAAAAGGACAGGAGAAAAAGACCAGCAAGCCACTTATAGGCTCTCCCTGTCTCACAAATCAGACAAGAAATCCTCTTCCCCGAAGGATGAGAAAGTGACAGGCTAGCAAGAGAAATGATTTGTCCAATATGGCCCCTTATTGAGGGTGGAGTAGAAATCATCACATAAAAACAGAAGAGTAGACAAATACAAATTCGTCCAACAGCTACCAACTCTCACACATGTCTGTTTCAGGGGAAGTTGGAGACTGGAAAAATCACTTTACTGTGGCTGAGAATGAGAGATTTGATGAAGACTATAAGAAGAAAATGGCTAATACCAGTCTAACTTTCCACTTTCAATTCTAGTAAGGAAGAAAACAAAGTTTTTTAGTCGATTATTTCTGGGTAATAATCAACAAAAGTTTTACTACCCAGACTACATGACATTGGATCCAGGTTCTCAGACTAGTTGTTTATTGTATTTGCTTTTGTGCACTCTAAAAAAAAAGTGATAGAGCTAGCAGAGCTTGGGTGCAATGTAGGACGGTGATGTGGCAAGAGGGAGGTTCAATAAATTATTAGTTACAAACATGGCATCATTGCTAATTATCATTACACTTAAGTTTTCTACAGATCATGTGCTTGTTAACATATTAAAAAATGCTTCAGTCCATACATAAGAATACACTAAGTTTTAAGATTAAGTGTTTGTTGAAGATAACTTTTAAATGCAGTAATAAAATGTGTAAATAATGACTATTTCATCCAGCAATTTTTGGGAAGCCAAGTAACCGCCAAGTAACTCTGTTTCCCCATGAAATCTCCACTTCAAGGTTGTTTCTATATTTAATCCCATCTCTCACCACAACCTATGTATTTAACTGGACTCTCTTTTCCACCCACAACCAGTGCTATAATTCAGTCCTGGAGTCATGTCTTGACTCACCTCCCTTCAATGTCTCTATGATCATATTCTAATATATTAGCAACATCTGTCAGTTTTACCTCTGTGAATCTCATTTGTATAGCCATGCTTCTGGTTCAGAAACATACTATCTCTCGCCTAGACTAGTGTAAGCTTCCCAGCTCATTTCTCTGTTCATCACACATCTGCCAAAGTTATTTTCCTATAGCAAGACTCTGAATATATTTCTCTTTAGCTCTAAATTCTTCAATGATTCTGAACTTTCACTACCTGAAAGATAAATCTCAAGCTTTTCAGCCATGAATTCCAAGGTAGCTATAACCATATGCTATAGTTAATCACATCCTCCAAACCAACTTTCCAGCTTGATTTCATCTTCTAAGCCACCTCCATACTTCAGCAAACTAACCTGTTAGTCACTGAGCCCTGATCACATCCTGCATGTTCCTATCCTACTAGTTTCATTTTCACCATGCTTCCACCCAAAATGTCCTTTCCTTTATTTCTACCTATCCAAAAAATATAACAGGCATCAGTAACCAGCACGTGCCCTCCCATCCCTCCCATCTCTCCTATTCCTGAAGAGATTTTTGTTCTTCTGAATCCTCTACACTTGGTGTAATTCTTTTTTTAATTAAGATTAAAGTGTATTCTATTGCTGGTATGTCTACATTGTCTTTCTTGTGTTTATTTAAATTTTGTTTTGTTTATTTTTCTCCAAGATACATTGCTATATACTGCATTGCATGCCAAACAGCATATAACATGCTCAAAAATAAGTACCTGAAAGAACATATCACTCAAGAACATTTTAAAAACTTACTTTTTATATTCTAAGTAATCCCTATAACAGCTACCATCTATAGCTGTGCTGTCTAATACAGTAACTACTAGACACATGTAGCTATTTAAATTAATTAAAATTAAACAAAATTAAATTTCAGTTCCTCATTTGCACCAGTCAAATTTTAAGTGTTCTGCTGCCATATGTGACTAGGGACTATGATTTGCACCATGCATATTAGAAAACATTTCTATCATCAGAGAAAGATCTACCAGACAAGACCTTTTATTTTTACAAAAGTCCTTTGAGTGGCATTTAACCTAATGAGAAAACTAAAACTAAAGTTAAGGGGTATTAGGTAAATTACACAGATGGGAAACAATGGAGTGTAGTTTCAAACACAACTCCAGTGGCTCCAAAGCCTGGGCTTTTTTTTTTTAATTAGTTTCAGGTGTATAGAACAATGCAGAAAAAGAGGGACAGCTGTCGTTGTTCCTGTGTTGAGCCCTCCTCCCCTGTAGCCTATGAGCAGATGCCATCTTTCCAGTGTTGAGCCCTCTCCCAGCATGGCCAAATCTGAATCTCAATTGGCCTGGTAAAATCCACTTGCTCCACCCTTGTAAGTCTCTGAGACTATACCCCCACCCAAGTCACACACCGTCAGAGGCTCTTTCAGCTGTGGACAGCCTGTGCTGCAATCTTTTATGGACAACTCTTTGGTGTTCATAGGACCCAATTGGATAGCAGTTGGCCTCAGTGTGCTCGGAACCTTTTGTTGAGTGATCCCAGGCTCAACACTATTGTCAAACCTGAATCTGTATTAACCTAGTAAACACCACTCTGGTGTTAACCCCACCCTGTTGACTCCCTGAGACTCTCCCCCATGCAAATCACATGCTGCCCAAGGCTCTTTTAGCGGCTGAGCCTTACAGGCAACTAGCAGGTGGTATCAGGCCTCAGAGTGCCCTGTGCCTTTTGTTAAGCTGCCTTAGGCCCAGTACTGGGGGTAGCTCATCTCAATTTCAGCATGGCCTCTCTCATGCACCTCCAGGTCCAGCACAGGCAGCAACCAACCATGGATTGCTTTGTAGTTCCTACCAGGTAGCCCCAGGCTAGTTACAGGCAGCAGCTGAACTTGGCCTGCACAGGAGCCGCTCCCAAGAGACCCCAGAACCAACATACCTGGAGGCTGGCTTCAGACTTCAACAGAGCAGCACCCAATTAGCTCCACCAGTGACACATCCAATGAGTAGTCTTGGCAGGTACCAGAGCCCATTGGGTCAAATTCTGCTCCTTGAGGTCAGCCTGCACACAGCAACTTGTATTGTGGGCATGGACAATCCTCACAGCCAGTCAGCCTGAGGGTCAATCCCATTCACTGACATGTCAACAGTAATCAAGTCTCCACTACAATAGGAAGGCACACACAACATACACAAGGGACACTCATGGAGCACCCAGGGAGGCTGCACCACTGGGCTCCACAGGACACCTACTACATAAGCCCCTCCCCTCCTGCCCGCCAAGACTGTGAGATGTAGCACATCTACCTAATACACAAAAACAAACACAGGTAGGTAGCCACCCCAAGTGAAAAATGGGGAAAAACTCCAGGAAAAGAGCTAAATGAAATGGAGGCAAGCAATCTATCAGATACAGAGTTCGAAACAATGGTTATAAGGATGCTCTAGGAACTTAGTTAGAACTTCAACAAGGAGATAGTAAACATAAAAAAGGACATAAAAACCACATAAAAGAATCAGTCAGAAATAAAGAATACCATAATTGAAATGAAGAATAAACTAAAAGTAAGCAACAGCAGATTATAAAGCAAAAGATTGAATCAGTGATTTGGAAGATAAGACAGCAGGAATAACCCAATCCGAACAGCAAAAAGAAAAAAATAATCATAAAAATGAGAAGTTTAAGATACATCTAGATATGAAAACATTTGTATTACAGGGGCACCAGAAGGAGAAGAGCAAGGGATTGAGAACCTATTTGAAAAAAAAACAAAACAAAACACATCAATGAAAACTTCCCTAATATGGTGAAGGAAATAGACATATTAGTTGTGGTTAAAACATACAGTGATTGTATAAAATTAAAAAATAATTACAATAAAAGACATTGCTATTTAGCCCCTCAAAATACTCCCCTCACTTCAAACACACTTATCTCATTGTTCTTGCCACTTTCTGAAGCAGTTCTGGAAGTACTCTTTTGAGAGTGTCTTTAGTTGCGCAGTCATGGCTGCCTCAATATCCTGAATTGATTCAAAACACTTACCTTTTGTTGTCATTTTGCCTTTGGGGAAGAGCCAGAAGTCGCACAGTGCGAGATCCAGTGACTAAGGTGGATGAGGACACACTCTGATATTTTTATTTGACAGAAATTGCTATATACCAGAAGTAATCTGTGACATGGAGCATTGTCATGATGGAGGATGACTTATAGCACACATTAAAATACACCTTCTCTCAACTGTAGCTCACACCCGACTGACTGCATGGAACAAGTTGAAACTTGTAACACACTGTTACTATGGTTCAGCGTGCCACTTCCTGTATTGAAGATACCTGCCTTTCTGTTGGATGGCACTCAGCAGCAGCATTCATTAAAGTTTTTGATCACATCTCATACAAATGCAGGAAGGGAAGAGAGTCCCAAGCAAGATGAACACAAAAAGGCTCACACCAATACACACCATAATTAAAATGCCAAAGGTTAAAGACAAAGAAAGGATCTTAAAAGCAGCAAGAGAACAGCAGTTACCTATAAGGGAGCTCCCATAAGACTATCAGCTGATTTCTCAACAGAAACTTTGCAAGCCAGAGGGACTGGCACAAAATGTTCAAAGTAATGTAAAGTGAGGTACAACAACCAAAGACTACTCTACCCAATAAGGTTATTGTTTAAAATTGAAGGAGAGATAAAAACTTCCCAGAGAAGAAAAAGCTGAAGTTCATAAGCACCAAACCAGCATTACAAGAGATGTTAAAGGGACTTCTTTAAGAAGAAGAAAAAAGATCGAAAATATAAATAATAAAATGGCAATATCTAAATATCTACCAACAATTACTTTTGATGTAAATTAAATGCTCCAGTCAAAAGATAGGGTGGCTGAATGGATAAGAAAACAAGACCCTTATAAGTGCTGCCTACAAGAGGCTCACTTCAAATTGAAAGACACACAGACAGACTGAAAGGGATGGAAAAAGATATTTCATGAAAATAAAAACAGACAAACAAAAAAACCTAGAGTAGCAACACTTATATCAGACAAAATAAACTTTAAAACACAGGCTATAACAAGAGACAAAGAGGACATTTCATAATGACAAAAAAATCAATCCAACAAGAGGATATGACCATTGTAACATTTATGTACCCAATATAGGAGCACCTAAATATATAAAGCAAATATTGACAGACATAAAGAGAGAGATAGAAAGTAATACAGTCATAGTAGGGACTTTAACACCCCATTGACACCAATGGACAGATCTTCCAGATAAAATCAACAAGAAAACAGCACCCTTAAATGAAATACTACACCAGATAGATTTACTTGATTTTTTAGAGCATTTCACCCCAAAGCAGAAGAGTATACATTCTTTATAAGTGCACATGGAACATTTCCCAGGATAGAACACATTAGGCTATAAAAAAAGTCTCATTAAATATAAGAAGACTGAAATCATATCAAATATCTTCTCTGATTACAATGGCAGGAAATTAGAAATCATTTACAGGAAGAAAGCTGAAAATACACTAATACATGGGGGCTACATAACATGCTACTAGACATTGAATGGATTAACAATGAGATCAAGGGAAAAAATCAAAAGATACTTGAGACAAGTGAAAATGAAAACACAATGACCCCAAATCTATGAGACACAGTAAAAACTGTTTTAAGAGGGAAATTCATAGCAATACAGGCTTATTTCAAGAAAGAAGAAATACCTCAAATAAATAATCTAAACTTACACTTAAAAGAACTAGAAAATGAACAGCAAACATAGCCTAAAGTGAGTGAAAGGAAGGGAATAATAAAGACCAGAACAAAAATAAATAAAATAGAGTCTAAAAAATGTATTTAACACAAACCAATGAAAGCAAGATCTGGTTCTTGGAATACATAAACAAAATTGGTAAACCTTTAACCATACTTGTTGAGAAAAAAAGAGGACACAAATAAATAAAATCAGAAATGAAAGAGAAGTAACAACCAATACCACAGAAATACAAAGGATTATAAGACAACACTATAAAAACTTACATGCTGACAAATTGAACAAGGTCAAAGAAAGGGATGAATTCCTACAATCATAAAGTCTTCCAATACTAAATTAACAAGAAACTGAAAATCTAAGCAGACCAATAACTATTAACAAAATCATATCAGTAATCAAAAAACTCCCCCCTAAAAAAAAGTCTGAGACCCAATGGCTTCATAGGTGAATCTTACCAAACATTCAAAGAATTAGCACCTATCCTTCTCAAACTACTCCAAAAAATTCAAGAGGAGGGAAGTCTCTCAAGCTCATTTTAGGAGGCGAGCATTACCCTTTCCAAACCAAACAAAGACAATACAAAAAAAGAAAATTATAAGTCAATATCCCTGATGAGCACAGATGCAAAAATGCTAAACAAAATATTAGCAAAAGAAATTCAACAATACATTAAAAAGATCATCTATCATGATCAAGTGGGATTTACTGCTGGGATGCAAGTTTGGTTCAATAGCCACAAATTAATTAATGTGATACACCACATAAAAAATGGCAGGATAAATATCATGTGATTACATCAATAGATGCAGAAAAGTGTTTGACAAAATCCAGCATCAATTTATGATAAAAACTTTC